GGGGAGTGGGTGTGATTCCCAGGTCCCTGTCAGAAGCCCATGTTTGTAGAAGAAATACTTCTGAACTTCTCAAAGATAAGCCCCCATGGGGTAGAGGGTCCTCAACAACAGAAATATTTTAATCTCTTCAAAGTTAGATTTTGCCCCCCTCCCTCAAAAAAAACAAAAAACAAAAACCGAGGGACCAGTCTTGCCTCAGCACATTCTTTCAGTCTCTCAAAGGTAAGATCACAATGTTGGAGACCCTCACAAAGGGGATACCTTTCCACCTCCCAGAAGCAGTCAGCCAATGGGCAGGGCACAGTGTGCATCTTCTCAACAAGTGTCCCCTGGTATACTTAAAATGGTTCCCAGAAAAATAGTCAGTCCTTTGATGTTCCTTCATTCCTGACTGCTAACACGTACTTACAGGAAGTAATTCTCCAGTGAGAAGTGTAACTGACCAGATTTGGGTTACTGAATCTGATATCAGTTTCTGCCTCCATGCTGCTTTCCCAGCTGCAGAGCCAATACACATAGACTAAGCACCAAATGAGACTAGAGTCAAGAGTAGAAATGCGGAACAGATATGGAGGGATGGCCCAGCGCTTTAGAGCACTTGTTCTTCCACGGGACCTAGGTTCAGTTCCCAGTACCCACATAGTGGCTGTCAACCACTCTAACTCCAGTTCCATAGGCTCTGACACTGTCTTCTGGCCTCTGCAGACAACAGACATACACATACTACACAGACATACATGCATGCAAACACCTAAAACATATGATATAATAATTTTTTAAAAAAAGAAATGGGGGGCTGGAAAGATGGCTTCAGAATTAGGAGCACTTGCTGCTTTCAGTATTCAGATCGGGTTCCAGCACCCACATTGGATGGCCTACAACCACTTGTAACTGCAGCTCCAGTGATCTGATGCCCTCTTCTGGCCTCTTGAGGCACTTTCACACATGTAGCACACACAGCGTCACAAATTAAAAATAATAAATCCTTTTTTTAAAGTAGAAATGGAAGAGCAATTTGCAAATAAACTTCTCTGATGTGTCAATTTTTGATAGTGACTAAGGAACAAGAAAACTGGGTGGTTTGTTTCTTTTGGCAGTGCTGGGCATTGAGAGCCTCATACATGCTAGCATAATCTGCTACTTGACTTAGAGTCTCAGCCCCTATTGCATTTTATGGAAATTTTAGTAATTAAAAAAAATTGGTTATAAAGAAAACAAAAATTTTTTTGATTAAAAGAAATAAATCTAGGGGCTAGTGAGATGACTCAGTATTTAATTAGGAAGATTGGCTGTTCTTACAGAGGATCCAGGTTCAATTCCCAGCACCTACAGGGCAACTCTAAACCAACTATAACTCCAGGGAATTGCAATGCCCTCCATATTTAACGGGTAATGCATGTGGTACAACGACACATACACAGACAAAACACCCATACACATCAATTAATTTAAAAATCATTTATGCCCGGTGGTTGTGGCGCAAGCTTTTAATCCCAGCTCTTAGGAAGCAGAAGCAGATGATGGATCTTTGAGCCCATTGACAGCCTGACCTACAGAGCAAGTTCTAGGACAATCAAAGTTACACAGAGAAATCTTGTCTTGAAAAACAAAAAATAACTTGGGAGGCAGAGGCAGGTGGATTTCAGTGAGTTCAAGATCAGTCTGGTCTAGAGTGAGCTCCAGGACAGCCAGGACTACTACACAGAGAAATCTTCTCTCGAAAAAAACAAAACCCTGAAACAGCAACAACAACAACTAAAAAAAAAAAAAAAAAGAAAAGAAAAACAGCAACAAAAATCTTTTGTAACAAACAAGTTGCTTTCTTCTTAGTTCTACTTCAAGTTTATAAACGGTGGTTTGGAGCATATATGCAAGAAACTGAATATCTACATTTCCTTCTCATTTACTATGTTATTGTAGTTTTATGTGTTCTCTGTGTGAATGTCTCTTGACTTTAATGATGTGCATTACACAGGTACTATTAGATCACTGTACTTATATTTGCCAATAAGAAATTTAAACCTAAAATATTTTTTAAATATCTGACTTATATTTTACAGAACTGAAACCAGAGCAGGTGAAGAATATGTCTGCCAGTGAGGTATGTATATTTTATGCTTATTTTTCTTCATTTGAATCCTCTATAAGACTTGTAAATTTTTCTAGTCTATTTAATTAGAAACAAGACAGTTTTAACTTTGTTTCATTTAAATATATAAGGCTTATAAAATCAGTTACTGTGCTGTATTTTAGTAATGGTTAAAAATGTAGTCATTTAATCAAGTTACGTAAGCACTGAGTGAAAAGTTACAAGAAACGTGATTTTGTATGTTAGGAGGATCCCTAGGGATGGAGCTTAGTGATAGAGTGTGTGCCTTGCAAGTGTAAAGGTCTGGTGTTGGGTTCTCAGCAATAGTAATAGTAGGAAGCTTCATATGCTGCTAAAAAGCTGCATTCCCAGCTCATGTTTATTGTAATCAACCCTTTTCCTTTGTGATGAACCTGGCACAAACTTAGCAGATATACTTGTGGGGAATGGAAGGTGACCAGTGTACAATCTTAGGGAATGATGGAGAGAAAAACCAGAAGTAGAATAAGTTTGGGTTGTTGTCTTAGTTACTTTCCTATTGTTGTTGTTACAAAACACCATGACCAAGGTAACTTCGAAAACTAGCAACTGTGACCAGAATGGCAGCAGGCAGGCAGGCACGGTACTGAAGCAGAAGCGGAGAGCTTATGCCTTTATCAGCAAGTAGGAGGCTGGGAAAGAGACATACTTCACCTGGCATGGGCTGTTGAAACCTCAAAGAGCATCCCAGTGATATACTTCCTCCAACAAGGGACAGCTCCACCAACTTCAGATCAAGCGTTCAAATAGATGAGCATTGTGGGAGTAGGGTGTGGGAGGCATTCTCACTCAAACCACTGTAATTATACATCCCAGAGGTAGAATTTAGGTTTGTTTTCTATTGCTTTGTCAGATTTTTCTCTAATGAGTGTCTTTTGTTTTGTTTTGTTGTTTTTAGTGAAGAAAACATATGCTATGAAATATTAATGTACAAATAATAACAGTGCATCGGCATAGATTTTGTAAGGTGTCTTATATGGCATATTTGCCTAATATGTAATATAAAAATAAGAAATATATTTAAATGATTAGCATGATTTTTTTAAGAATATATCATAAAAATTAACAAAGTTCCATTTTAATTTCATCATTTCTTTCTATGTCACTTTTTTTAAATCTAGATGAGAAATATTCGATTATCTGACTTCACAGAATCCTTAAAAAAGATAAAGCGCAGTGTGAGCCCTCAAACCCTAGAAGCATACATCCGCTGGAACAAGGACTTTGGAGACACCACTGTTTAAAGCAATGCCTTTGTAAGCCTGCAGAACATTCTACTTAACAAGAAACACGAGCTTCAGAGAATTTATCAGCCACAGGAACTCAGACTTCGTTTACAGGACTTTTTAGAGTTTTCCTTTTTGCTCACCAAACTTGAAGAGGAACAAAAAGACAGACCTAAATAAAATATGCAATGTGAATGGAATTTTTGTTTAAGGCCGTCTTGCCTGGTGGTCAGTGGTTTTTTTTCAGTGGGCACTGTTAGTTAGAGCACAGCAAAAAAGCAAAAATAGATTCTGGCTCTTTATTGAGAGTAATCATTATGTAAATAATAATTTGTATATTGTGTTCAGATTAAAGTATTTCAGAGACAGTGACTGGTAGACACAAAGAGCCTGCTGTTGTCTGTCTCCCGACGTTTTTCTTACAACACTCTCTTTTCTGGTTTTCTTTGCTGCTGTTACCCTAGCTCCCTGTGATTGGAATACCAAACACTCGGAGTTCTTTCCTGCTTTTCTTACCAACTTCAGTGTGCCAAATGGAAATCTTTTCCATATGCAGTAAGAAAGAGCTATACTAAGGCTTTTTTCAACCTAGATATACAAACATTAAACCATTAGTACTTTCTTTTATGTTTTGTTTTTCTATTTTATTGTCTTGCTGCCAAACAGTTTAGAAAGCAATATAATAGCAACAGAGACTGTGGCACAACAAAGGTTTGAAGGTTTGAGTCACTCTGTCATGTAACATGTAGGTCAGTCCTTCTGTGCCCTGCAGTATTTTTTTTCTAATACACCAGAAATCCCTTGTAGATTTAACTTATTCCAGCTGGGATTCAGTTTTTGTGTTGGAGTTATTCTAGTATTTTAGAGAGCTGATGTTAAGTGCTATAAATTGCACCAGTGTGAAAGAAGGGACATACTGGGAGGTACGACATTTCTAGTTTATTGCTGATTACTTTCCTAACAGGATCATTAAATGCCAGTGGCACTACCATCTTTTTACTAATTGCCGTTCCTTCCATGAAATTTAAAATAACAAATTTTTCTACACGGCATATATTTTACAGGTCTCCTGTCTTTGCTTTTTAACTAAAAAGCTCTAGTCTGTTGATCTACCTTTTGTTTCCATAATTGTATAGTAATTTTTTGTTGTTTGTATAAATATGGCTGGACTTTTATTACAAAAATGCATTATAGGAAGTAGAGGCTCATGTGTGGCCTTTTAAGAATTGTATAAAGGCAAATGGATATTTGCCATTAGTTTACTGGTTAAAAGTTTGTTTACAGAAATTTTCTTTGGTGCTTAAATGATGCCTGTGTAAAATATCATGGGTAGAAAGAATGGTTTTGTGGTAGTAACACCAACTTCTCATGTAAGAAAGATGTTTGAGGAAATACATTAAAACACTTGCTCTCCCCCCAGATAAAAATTTATGATAAAGACTACATCCTCAGTTTTACTTTTGGTCTTATTAAAGATTTATCTAAACATAGAAAATGGCTTATTTCTTAGATGCATATGCTGTTTGTGGCTGTAATTTAAGTCATGTCTCTTTTAATCATGATTTTAGACATCCCTGAATGATAAAAATGAAGTTTAGATAAATAGGGAAACAATTTAAACCAAAGCTGTGCATATTTTTGGTTCTGACTAGTGTCTGTTTAAGGTTCCAGATGTTAGAGCATCGTTATAAAAACTGACATTGCAAGCCTGTGGTGATGATGGTGCCGCAGTTCTAACCCAGATGTCTACAACAAAACTTAGACTTCATTGTGTTTTCGTTTAGGAAGGGACTGACAGCATTGCCACTGTTTATGTATTGAGACAGGCTCCAGGTCAGTTCTTAAAATAGAAGAGTCTTTAAAGTTAGGGTTAGTTTGTGATTCTTTCCGGAAGAGTTTTAAGAGGTAACAAAATTTTCCTTTGTCTAAAAGGTACAGAAGTTGAGTTACACTAAACTGAATCACAGATGTCACTGTGTGACTGTCATCAGTGTGTGGACACTCCTTTGTTCATCAGGCAGGAGGTTCAGTGTGAGAGAACACTTTCTGTGATGTCTTATGACCCAGGTTTATTTCAGGCTTTTTGTTGTTGTTTTTCAAACAGGGTCTCATGGAGCCTAAACTGGCCTAGAACTCAATGAGTAGCCTATTCCTCTTTCTGCCTCTACCTCCCAAGTGCTGGGATGCCAGTGTGCACCCCACACTGGGACGTTTGTTCTTTTTCAGTAAGAATAGACGTTGCTGGGGATTTCCAAACTAACATTAGATTTTAATTTATATTAATTTTAGATTTTTTATTGAGCTCTGTTTATTGTTCAAGATGATGTTTAAAAAGTAAGGATTGGTGTGTTCTTCATGTTGACATGACGGAGTCCTGGTAAGCTCGGTGAACTTACTGATGACCTAACTGAGCCAAAGGAAAGACTCAATTCCATCTTTCCAGATCTGCTAGGGCTACAAAGCTTTCCCGAGACTAGAAGCCAATTGGATTTATTTTTATCTTTTTATGCTTAAGGTGTAACTGGACAAACAGAATTTTAAGTTAAATATATGTGGTATTCTTTGTTTATAATGTAAAATTGTTTGTTTATGTGTCATACAAAACTAACTTGTAGAATGAAGGCTTACAGTTTGCTTTTCGGATTCTTAAGGCAGATTATTTTCCTTTAAATGTCTGTCTCAATTTTAGTCTTAACTTTAACTTTTTACTTCTACAAAAGAAATGACTTAAAGGGTATGTTCAGCTGCATAAAGTGGGTTTTTATCCTAATTAATTTTCTTGTAAATAAATGATAAACTTGGTTTTGCCTTAATTTTTTATAGTTTGAATCTTTGATATTTCAGAGGTTGCAATTTGATGGAGTCTTTTGTAACTCTTGTGGTAATAAACTCTGAACAAAATATTCATAACAATGACTGGAAGGCTCTGAAGAGCAACGCAAACTAGTCAGAAGTGACAAAAATCGCTGTTTGAAGAGCTCTCTTATGTGTCAGTTTCCAGCTTTTGCAGTTCAGTCAAGTAAAATTCAAGCAGAATGTAGCTACTTGTTCAGTTGAAGAGGTAGCTCAGGCTTCTGAGACACCTAGAAGTGAGAACAGAAATGTTGGAAAGGCATGGGATAAGTTAGCCCACATCAACTACACATTCTGATTCCTGTCAAATCATTGGTACTTTCTAAAATATTACTTTTCTAGCAGGATATTCAAAGGAACCCAGCAGATAGTAAAGTCCAAAGAATTGATCAAATTAATCCCAGGCCTTGGGTGGCTGACAACTGCCAATTCAAGGCCAATTTTGCTTATTCCATTGAAACTATTATGAAACTCCAGCCTGTTTGGTTGGTTGGTTGGTTGGTTAGTTTTTCCTGGGTTTCTTAGACCCTGTCTCAAAACAGACAATAAACCTGTCATGATGGTGAATGTCTTTAATCCCTGCACCCAAGAGGCAAAAAGTAAGCAAACTCTTGAGTTCTGAGGTCAGCCTGTTCTACAAAGAGAGTTCAGGCCATCTGGGGAGGGCTACTCAGTATACCTGTCTCACATAACTAACAACACAAAGACAGCAAAGTGTACACAAGAAAACTGCTTGGGGACAGAGTTTTGAAATTGAAAATTGAAGCCAGGCAGTGATGACGCATTTTAGTTCCAGCACTCTGGGAGGCAGAAGCAGGCAAATCTCTGTGAGTTGAGGCCAGCCTGGTCTACAAGAGCTAGCTCCAGGACAACCAGGGCTACATAGAGAAACCCTGTCTCAAAAAAGCAAACTAAAAAACTAAAAATTGAAACTTAGAGACAAAATGAACAGAAACTCTTCACAATTTAAAGTAGCTACACAGTATCATGATTATACTTTTAATAGTGTAAATTCAGAATAGGCAACATTCTTCAGAAGAAAACAGAAGCCAAGTATCCAAAGGAAAGTGATGTGATCTACAATCAGGATACATGGAAACAGATTCTCCTCTCACCCCCTTTGGGGGATGAACAGCAGATGCCTTGAACATGTTAATTGACAGAAAGAGACAATAGACCCCTAATATTCAACAGAGAAACACAACAAAACCAAATAAACACCTGGCCAAAAAAAGTATCAAATGTTTTTTGAGACAGGATTTCTCTGTGTAGTACTGCCTGGCTGTCATGGAACTTGCCACCTGTCTCTGCTTCCCAGGTGCTGGGATTAAAGGTGTACATCACTACACCTCTCACCTTTTCTTTTTTTTCTAGCCAATGTTTTTAATGCTAAGCCAGTCATACAGACAGAACAAGAGTACAGGACAGTAAAGGTTTAAGACAGTGGGACAGAATCAGGATACTTGTGACTTGAAGTACCGAAGAGAAGAATGCATGTGAGAAACAGGTAAAATGCAATGCCTCAATTTCGCCCCAGATAGTCAAAAGCTACCACACACTTATGTTCAGTGAGCCCCAGAATCTGTAAAATGTGGATTTTAAGACTCCATACCTGTCTTTAATTTCTCCAGCAACAGTGAAACTATTTGTTAGGAAATACATAGGGGTAAGTTTGCTTTAAATCTTCAATTACAGATGCCAACCAAGCACTATCTTAAAAGCACAACCTTCTTGGGATAACAGTCTTGGGTCTGAGGGTTTATCTCGAGCTGGAGTTCAAATCATTGTTCCTGGGGTAACCCAGAGTTGGATGTCAGACCAAGTGGCTTGGAGAGGTCACCTAAAATGATGGGCCATTTAACATGGGCCGTTAGGAAGCTAGATGGTGGTGGCACATGCCTTTAATCCCAGCACTCAGGAGGCAGTGGCAGGTGGATTTCAGTGTGTTTGAGACCAGTGTGGTCTACAGAGCAAGTTCCAGGACAGCCAGGGTGGTTACACAGAGAAAAACGCTGTCTCAAAACAAACAAAACAAAAAACAAAAAAAGGGAGGGGGGAAGTTAGTCACACGAGTGGATATGAGTGCTCAGGACTGTAAAATAGAACTGTGGAAAGAAGTCTGTATTTTTAATAATTGGATTTCAATCTAAGAGGGCTTAACAGGACCTAGGATTTGCTTGGGTTAAAGTATCATTGGATTTTTCTTCTGCCTCTTTCCTGAGTGCTGGGATTAAAGGCATGTGCCACCACCATCTAGCTTCCTAACTGCCCATGATAAATAGTCCATTATTTTAGGTGACCTCTTCAAGCCACTTGGACTGACATCCAACTCCAACATTGAACTCCAACTCAAGATAAACCCTCAGACCCCAGACTGTTACCCCAAGAAGGTCGTGCTTTTAAAATAGTCTTTGGTTGGCATCTGTAATTGAAGATTTAAATTTAGTAATCTGTGTTTGTATTTTCCTGTAATCAAGCATTCAGGAGGAAGAGGTAGAAGGATCAAGGCCATCTTTAACTTCATAGTGACTCAGGAAAGCCTGGGCTATCTAAGACATAGTCTCATTAAAAATGATTAATTTAAATGGATCCTAACTCAGAATAGTTTCCATGGTCCTCTGACTTGACAGTTCTCGCTCTGGGGAAGTCATGCTCCAGATTTAATGCAGTATATGCTATCACTTTTCAGATCTCACAGTGCACCTTCTCAGGATGCTTGCTCTAGTTTATTCTGCCTGGGGAAAAGTCATTTTCCAGGAATATTTATCATTTAGATGTTAGTCTCATCTCCCTGAAGAAGCTTTTCTGAGGGGCTGGAGAGATGACTTAGTGGTTAAGGGTACTTCCTGCCCAATCATCAACACTGAGTTTGAATCCCCTCCTCAAATTTGGTGATTCAAGTCTTTTTACCTTCAGCCCCAAGGCTTTTAATGCTCTCTTCTGGCCTTTTCAGACATCTGAACACAAATAAAGTAACTTTAAAAAACCTTTCCAACCGCTATGAATTAACCACTCCGTCAATCTTTAATAACATACCCCACACTCCATTTTTTTCAAAGACAAGGTATCACTGTGAAGCTCTGGCTGACCCTGGAATTCACAGAACTCTGCTTACCTCTGTTGCCTTCCACTATTAGGATGAGCATAGGCCACCATATATTATCCTACGTTTGTTATACTATTTATGAATAGTTTTACATTTTTTCTTTCTGTGTATGTTTCTTAATTTCCCTAAGACCAATGCCTAACAGATAAAGTCTCCAAATATAGTCTTTCTATACCACTGTCTTAGTTTTCTATAACATTACTACATAAGAAACCATAGAGGTAAAACTGTTAGAGAATGAGCCAGAGTATGTTAAACTAAAAACAAAATATCTTGAGTTCCACACCAGCATGTGAAATAGATATGACTTGAGCAATGTTTCTGATTTTTAAAATATTTCATTCTTGGAAAGTTTCATAGTATATAATGAATTTTAGTCCTTTTTATGCTTACCTTGTCTCATCTGCCACTGAAACTGTTCTAACAAATGCTACTCTATTTCATGTCTTTTGGTACTTTTGTGTGAAGTGTGACTTGAATTCTGTCTCCTGCCACAGCCTTCCAAGGAGGGCACCACATTGAGTGTGTAACATTTTTTGTTTTGTATTGCTGGGATGGAACCCAGCTACAATCCCTTACTTTCTCATTAAATTTGAGATGACCTCACTAAATTCGGGAGGCTGACGGCAAACCTACTCTAAAGCAGAAACATGCCAGAACTCAATATTCCTACCTCAGCCACTGATCCTATAGGGTTACAGGTCTACACCTAGTTTAGGCAATTAAACCCGTGTGTGTCGCTTGTGCTCCATAAGGGCTCTTAGTGGTGGTGTCTGATCCTCTTAAACTGGAGTTACAAATGGTTGTGAGCAGCCATGTGGATGCTGGGAATCAAACCCGGAACCTCTGGAAGAGCAATCTGCTCTTAACCATTGAATCATCTCTTCAGCCCCCTTTGTGGTGTTTTTGTTTTCCTTTCTTTTTTGGTTTTTGAGACAGAGTGTTGCTGTTTAGTGCAGTCTTCCCTTCACAACCTCCAGCGTTAGAACTATATGCAGGCGATGCTGTGTGTACCCTGGTCAGTGAAGGGCACATGGTAGCCAGAGGACCACCTTGTATCTAAGGCTGACGTCCACCTTGGTTTTTGAAATAGGGTCACTGAGCTCCAACCTTGCGGCCCCCGGGATAAGCCTCTGCTTCTTGAGCACCAGGACCAAACAGCCCTGGCCACCACTACTGCGTGAGCTCTGGGGATAAAACTTGAGTCCTTATGATTTTAAGTGTTTACTGTGACACGGTTTTGTTGAGGATTTTCTTTTGTTTTTCGAGACAGGGTTTCTCTATGTTGCCCTGGCTATCTGTCCTGAGTCCTGTAGACCAGACTGGCCTCAAACTCACAGAGATCTGCCTGCCTATGCCTCCTGAGTGCTGGGATTAAAAGTGTGTGCCACCACGGCCAGGCCTATTATGATATCTTTTAATCTTACAGCTTCTTCATTTTGAAAACAGGAATATTAGCGTAATACCAAAAGCCTACCCTCTCTCTTGGCGAGATGCCCCACAATCGTAACCCTCCTATCTCTTGAACAAGCCAAGGTAGCCGGAAGGGATGGGACCTTGAGTGCACGCGCAGTTCCGCCCCCACCGCCCGCCAACCAATCGGACTCTGATGGCCCGCCTTTTCCGCTCGGGTAAAGCGAACCCCCAGAGCGTCTTCCGGCGGGAGCTGTACGGCTCCTTACCATGGTGAGTTGGTTGTGGGGTGTGCGGGTTCGGTGCGGGGTGCTTCCTCCTGCTTCCTCTCCGGAGCGTCCCGCTGTGCCGCCGCGGCTCGGAACCGCGTCGTCGGGGCTGCGCCGGGCAGGGAGGAGCGGCTGCTCGCACACGGGTCCCCAGAGCTCTGATCCTCAAGGGTTCCTGCCGGTGCTTCTACAGCTGGGATCCGAGATTCTCCTGATGTTCAAATAAACATCTGTCTGGAAACAAGTCCACATAATGACTAGAGTAGCGATGCGTGCACGGGTGTTCACTTGTTTGCTGCATTTGAGTGTTTAAATAGCTTGGCACTGCAACCTCCACAGGCACCGGCGGCTACAGAAAGGGTTTAGTGGAGCAGCTGGTGAAGGTTGTAGTATCCCCTGTGGTTGTTGGAGTGTCGTGTTTTCCCTAAAAATGATTAAGTTAGTTCTTTGGGGGCGGGGGGTGCTGTTCGACACAGGATTTCTCTGTGTAGCAGTTCTAGCTGTCCTGAAAATCGTTTTGTAGACCAGGCTGGCCTCGAGCGCACAGAGATCCGTCTGCCTCTGCCCCCCGAGTGCTGGGGTTGAAGGCATGTGCCACCATCGCCAGGCGTTAATTAGTTCTTAAATTAAACTGAGAGTACTGACACACGCCTGTGACCTACAACTCAGGAAGCTGAGGCAGGAGGATTGAGATTTGAAGGCTATCCTGGGTTACATAGTCACCCTACCTGGAAAAAAAAAGACAACAAAATCCAGAAGTCAAACCTGAATCTCTCAATTTAAGCGAGTATATGGTTGTGTTTTCAGACATTGGAGTGCAAGCTGCCCTTTTAAATGGTCATAAAAACTCATTGATCCCTTCTTGGTAGTTTACGTATGACAATGGCACAATTTTGCTCTCTTACTGTTTACCACTGTAAAATTTTCTTCTTTGGATTTTAAATTATATTAAAATATTCTTTCAAATTATATTTTTGAAAATCTAATGAAGATCTTTTAAAGAATTTGTTACTTTAAGTTGTGTGGGCTTGTGCTAATACATTAGTGCTAAAGTCGGAGGAAGCCAGAGACATTAGATCCCCCAGGGATCCCAAGGATGGAGTTATAGGCAGTTGAGATTGGATGTGGTTGCTAGGAATCAAACTTGGGTCCTCTGGAAGAACAGTTAGTGTTCTTACGTACTGAGCCATTTCTCCAGTCTCAAGATTTTTTTTTTTTTAAATTTTGTGTATGGATGTTGTGTCTGCATGTACCTTGGTTCCCTGGGAGCTAAGAAGGTGTTCGATCTCCTGGAACTGGAGTTATAGACAAATGTGAGTGCCTTGTGGGCACAGGGAACCAAACCCCCGTCCTTAGTAAGAGCGGTGAGTGCTCTAACTTCTGCGTCATAGTTCTATCCCCTGGTTTTTTGGTTTTTTTTTTTAAATCTTACGTAATACTTCCATAAAATTTCAGTAATCCTTTGCATACAGAAAATGGGTAAAACTTCGTCCTCTGTGGGGAGTGACAATGACCAGCTAGCCTTCAGTCTTTCTGGCTGCTGCTGCTGTTGCTGCTGCTGCTGCTGCTGCTGCTGCTGCTGCTGTTGCTGCTGCTGCTGCTGCTTCTTCTTCTTCTATATACACAACATCCATATTCTGGCAACAGTGAACAGCTTGCAAACTCTTTGCATATGCTCTTCCATCTGCCTGGATTCTGCATCTCCCACTCCCATCCTTTCCAGTATAACCTTACCTGCTCTTCACTCTGTGTATGAGTTTACGTAGGTGTGTGTGGAGGGCAGGGGTCCATGTCAGTTCTGGGGATTGAACATGCAGCCTCAAGCACTTAAGGCACGAAATCTACCACTGAGCTACAGCTACAGCCCTAGGAATCTTAGTATTTCTGCCGTCCTGGTCCTGAGATTACAGGCTCTTTCAGGATGCTGCAGCTCTAAACAAAGTCCTCATGCTTATGTGTCAGCACTTTCCTGACTGAGCCATCAGCCCTCATAATCACATGTCTTAGTATCCTGGCATAGTATTTTTAATTCTTGATCCTCCCTGTGGAATCTGGGAGAGGGAAGTGACAATTATTATTATTATTATTATTATTATTATTATTATTATTATTATTATTACTTGTTTGGTTGGTTTTTGTTTGTTTGTTTTCCGAGACAGGGTTTCTCTGTAGCTTTGGGGCCTGCCCTGAAACTAACTCCTGTAGATCAGGCTGGGCTCAAACTCACAGAGATCCATACTTGTTTGTTTTTTGAGACAGGGTTTCACTTTGTAGCCCTGGCTGTCCTGTAACTCACTCTTTAGACCAGGTTGGCCTTGAACTCACAGAGATCTGGCGGCCTCTGCCTCCTGAGTGCCCAGTTTAGAGGTGTACACCACCACTGCCCAGCCAGGAAGTGGTTTTATGACTTGCATGTTCTAATGAAGAAAATGCTCTGTGTAAGAATATAGTACTTTCTTAGAAAATGTGGAGATAGTATAACTATTAGCATTAGTAAAGTTACAAAGACTAACTTCTGATACAAGGTACCAGGATGAGGATTGTCCTATAATAAACTGCAAAAGCAATAGCATAAAAGCACTAAAGTTTGGAATAATCTAAGAAGACTGCATATCAATGATGAAGCATGAAGCAGTCCTTTGTAACCTCCTCAGACAGTTTCTCCCTTTTTCATGTATTCCATGTTTGCATATGTTGTGTGTATGTGGATGATTGTGGAGGACAGAGGTCAATGTTGAGTGTCTTCATTGTCTCTCCACCTTATCTTGTGTTTGTGTGTCTGTGTGTCTGTGTGTGAGCCAGAGCTCGATATTGGTATCTCCCACTGTCATCCTTCACCTACCTACTTGTTTGTTTGTTTATTATTTACTTTGAGACAGGGACTCACTGTGTAGTCAGACCTTGTTTGCCTCAAGCTCAGGAATCCTCCAGCCTTTCTGTCTTGCTAATGCTGGGATTAAAGGCATGGGCTGCTGTGCGTGCCTTCACATTTCTGGGGACACGCGTTCACTGACCCAGCTACTCTTGCTTACCAAAGAGCTCCAAGTAGGATTGGAGAGTTGGTTCAATGATTAAGAATGCAGTTGCTCTCCCAAAGGACCCAGGTTCAATTCTCAGCACTGACATGGTGGGTCATATCCACCTATAAATCTAGTTTCAGGGGATCCAACTCCCTCTTTTGGCCTCCATGGGCAACAAACACATATGTGGGACATAGATACATTTGTTGGCAAAACACCCATACACTTAAAAAATAATAAAATGTTCAATTTTTTTTTTAAATTCCAACTGGACATAGTGGGAATGCATGCCTTTGATTCCAGCATTTGGGAGCCAGAGGCAGGCAGAAGCTCTGTAAGTTCATCAAGTGAATCCCTGTGAGCCAGTCTGGTCTTTATAGTGAGTTCCAGGCAGCCAGAGCTACATGAGAAACCTTGTCTCAAAAGTAAACAAACAGCTTTGTGGTGGTGGCGCATACCTTTAACCAAACCCAACACTCGGCAGGCAGAGGAAGGCAGATCTCTGTGAGTTCGAGGCCAGCCGGGTCTACAAGAGCTAGTTCCAGGACAGGCTCCAAAGCTACAGAGAAACCCTGTCTTGAAAAACCAAAATAAATAAATAAACAAGTAAACAAGCAAACAAATCAGTAAAATAAGAACTCCAAGGATCTCACCTCTCTCTGTCTCTTCCTCCCCAGCACTGGGGTTGCAGTAAAGTCACACTTGGCACTTACGTGGATTCTAGGATTCACACTAGACCCTATGCTTATTTGGCAACAAGTACTTTATCAATGGAGCCAGCAATGTCAGATCTCCGCAATATCAGATGGCACCAGAACTGACCCTAACCTAACAAAATAATTAAAGTTCATGGGATGAACTGGGGACTGGAAAGATGAATGGCCCAGTGCTTAAAAGCGCGTTCTGTTTACATCCTGGAATGCCAGTTCTGAGAACCTGCTGCCTCCTGGCTTCCGCAGGCATCCACACACAGGTGGCACACATTTAAACAGATACACACACACACACACGTATACATAAGTTTGTTTGGGTTTTTTTGTTTCTGGTTTTCTGTTGTTGTTGCTTCCTTTTTCTTTTGTTTTTTTAGAGACAGGGTTTTTCTGTGCAACAGCCCTGGATGTCCTGAAACACGCTTTATAGACCAGTCTGGCCTTGAACTCATAGAAATCCTGCTTCTGCCTCCTGTGTGCTGGGATTAAAGGCATGCGCCACCACCACTCGGCTGTATACACATAAATTTTTAAAAGAATTTTTTATAATGATCTGAGGCTAAATAGATATCCAAGAATCACACTGGTTCTTTTGGTTTTGGTTTTTGGTGTTTGAGACAAGGTCTTCTACATAGCTGGCTATACTGGAACTCAGTATGGAGACCAGGCCGGCCTCCTGGACAAGAAGATCCTCCTGCCATCAGCCCCCCAGTGCTAGGAACTAGGGTGTGCCTCACTACACCTGTCTTAAGGATCACACTGTTAAACAGCATTTTGAAAAAGTTTCCTTGTATATATCCACTGAACTGTGTTACAAAGGACATTTCACACAAAATATATTGTAGTTTGAGCTGTTGTCCATGATCCCTCTCTCCCTTCTGTTTCCTCGCCCTTCCCCATTCCAAGTCCCCTTTGCTCCACTAGACAGTGTGATGAAGCAACATTTATTTTGGGGTAAAATATTCCGTGCATTGTTGTTTTGTTTTTGTTTTTTGAGACAGGGTTTCTCTGTGTAGCTTTGGGTGTCCTAGAACTGGTTCTGTAGACCAGACTGGCCTTAAACTCAGAAATCTGCCTGCCTCTGCCTCCCAAGTGTTGAGATTAGAGACGTGTGCCACCGCTGTCTGGCATATCTTTTCTTCTTACTTTCTGTTTCCTTGTGGTAGTGTTTTTATCATGTACCCTAGGCCAGTGGTTTTCAACCTGTGGGTCGCAACTCCTTTGGGATTTGAATGACCCTTCCACAGAGTTTGCCTAAGACCATCTTGCTTATCAGATACATCATTATGATTCATAGCAGTTAACAAAATTACTGTTATGAAGTAGCAACAAAATAATTTTATGATTGGGTGTTGTTGGAGACACTTGTTTGTTTCCCCCCGAAATAATCACACAGAAATTATGTTATTTAGTCACTTAAGCATATTTTTGGCTTACTCTTAAATCTTAAATTAACCCATTTCTATTAGTTTATATTTTATCACAAGGCTCGTGGCCTACCAGCAGGGCTCCAACTCACAGCTCACATCTTTTCCCTCTGGCAGCTACATGGCATCTCTCGACTCTGCCTTCTTTCTCCAGCATTCAGTTTAGTTTTTCCCACCTAGCTCTATTCTGTCCTATCACAGGTCAATGTAGATTCTTTATTCGTTAACCATTAAAAACAACAAATATACAGAAGGACTTACTACATCAGTTGGGGTCAGCACAACATGAGGAACAGAACTGCATTAAAGGGGTCTCAACATTAGGAAGGTTGAGAACCATTGCCCTAAGCTCTCCTCAAATTCAGTGTGCTGCGATTACTGGTGTGTGGTGACCTCCTGAATTAGCACACAATTTATTATTATTATTATTATTATTATTATGTATACAATATTCTGTCTGTGTGTATGCCTGCAGGCCAGAAGAGGGCGCCAGATCCCATTACAGATGGTTGTGAGCCACCATGTGGTTGCCGGGAATTGAACTCAGGACCTTTGGAAGAGCAGGCAGTGCTCTTAACCGCTGAGCCATCCCTCCAGCCCTAGGCACATAATTCTTTAAGAAAATGTATTTCACCCCAGATAAAAATAGGCTATTAAAAAAAACAAACAAACAACAACAACAACAAAAACAGGGCCGGATCTTTCAGCGGCATCAGTATTTGACTCAAACTTCAGTGAAGTGGAAATGTAGGATGGTTGTTATAGCCACCCTCTCTTTAGTGTTTAAAAAAGTACTTAGTTAAAACCAAAAATATTTAGCTGGGTAGTTAGATGTGCAAACCTTTAATCCCAGCACTCGGGAGACAGAGGTCAGTATATCTCTTAAGTTCGTGACCACAGTGGTCTACATTGTGAGTTCCAGGACAGCCAGGGTTGCATAGGGAAACCCTATAACCCAAAACCAAACATGCCTACATCTGAATTCCTAATTAGCTACTGACTAGCTTGGAGACTTTGGAGAACTTAGCAAAAATGATTTGCTTCTCATATGGTTATTTGAGTATTAATTCAATAAATGCATGTAAGTTGTATGGAGGAAGTGCTTGGGATGTGGAACACTCAACAAATGCTAGTGCGCTATCAAATCCCAGGGTCTTTGAAGTGTAGTAGATATTCAAGGCTGATTTGTATTTTTTATGTTTGTCTTAAAGGGGACAATTCATCTCTTTCGAAAGCCGCAGAGATCTTTTCTTGGGAAGTTACTACAGGAATTTAGACTTGTAGCAGCTGACCGCAGGGTAAGTCCTTCTTCTACCATGGTTTGAGTATTGCAAAACCATATGTGGAGGTCAGAGAACAACTTGGGAATCACTTCTCTTTTGCTACCATGTGAGTCCCAGGGATCAAACTCCGGTCCTCGGACTTGGCAACAATACCTTTACCCTTTGAGCCGTCTTGCCGGCCCAGTAATTGTCAGTTTCTAAATCAGTTGTGTCTGTTAATCTCTGCTACCCAAATCACCACTCATCCTCATTTCTCGTCTTTCTTGACCGACTTGCCATAGTTGACAAGAATTGGTCACTTCTCCTTAAAATATAGCATTATATAAGTTCCGAAAGGCTTGGGCTTTCCTCTTACTGACGTGCATCACCGTTCTCCTCCCCGGTCCTGCTTCTGCACTTCGGAGTGTGAGCTCCTGCTAGTCCTCCTGGTAACTTGCCTGATGATGATTTTGGTAGATGTAGAAAATGGGACATACTTTTTAGAGGAAGTTAGGTTTATGATGTGCTTTTTCTCAGTGTGAGTTAGGCAGCTTGAACAGATCTGTGAACTCTGTCAACACTGTCTGTATGGGCATGCTTTTCCTTCCCACAGTCCTGGAAGATCCTCCTCTTTGGTGCAGTCAACGTGCTGTGCACGGGCTTCCTGCTGATGTGGTGCAGCTCTACCAACAGCATAGGTATGTGACCCTTCGGGGTTTTACAGCTTCACTTTTGCTTCTGATTGTAAATAAAGTTGTATGTGCTGGCTAGTTTTATATCAGCTCGACACAAGCTGGAGTCATCCGAGAGGAGGGAACCTCAGTTAAGAAAACGGCTCCATAAGGCTGGTCTGTAGGCAAACCTGTAGAGCGTTTTCTTAATATGTGTTCGGTGGAGGAGGGCGCAGCCCACTGTAGATGGTGTCACTCTGGCTTGGTGGTCCTAGGTTCTATAAGAAAGCAGCGTAATAGAATCATTTGGTTCACGCCTTTAATCCCAGCACTCTGGAGGCAGCGGCAGGTGGATCTCTGAGTTCGAGGCCAGCCTGGTTTACAGAGTGAATTGCAGGACAGCCAAGGCTGCATCGAGAGACCTTGTCTCTTAAGAGGCAAAAAAGTCACGTTTTAGGGGCTGGAGATGACTCAGTGATTGAGAGTACTGGTTGCTCTTCCAGAGATCTGGGTTCAATTCCTAGTACCTATATGGCAACTAACAACGGTTTGTTAGTAATTTCATATCTAAGAAATTCAATGTCCTTTGTGTGGTGTGTGTATACATGCATGCAATGAAAACATCCACACAAGTAAAATAAAAATAAATAAATCTAAAAAAAAACAAAGCAAGAAAGCAAGTTGAACAAACCACGATGAGCAAGGCAGAAAACAGCACCCTCCATGGTCTCTGCATCAGCTCCTGCCTCCAGGTTCCTCCCTGTATGTGTTCGTGACTTGGCTTCCCTTAGTGGACTGTGATTTAGGATATGTAAACCAAATAAAGCCTTTCCTTCCCAAGTTGCTTTTGATTATGTTATCTGATCATGGCAATAATAACCCTAAGACAGGGGACTGGAGAGATGACTCAGAATTTAAGAGCACTGGCTGCTCTTCCAGAGGACCCAGGTTCAATTCCCAGCACCCACATGATAGTTCATAATCATCTGTGCTGAGATCCGGTCTCCTTCTGACTTGCAGGCAGAACACTCTATACATAATAAATAAATCTTTTTAAAAATATAACCCTAAGACAGTGTATTTTCCTTTATATGAAGAATGTGTTTTTCTTGAATGTGTGTAACTCAAATGTTTTAAAAATTTAAAATTTAAAAATTTCTGGTTTGTTTACTTTTATTTATTTGTTCATTTATTGATTGTATGCTTTGGTGTTTTGCCTGCATGTGTATTTGAATGAAGGTGTCAGATTCCCTGGAACTGGACTTATAGACAGTTGTGAACTGCCATATGGGTGCTGGGAATTGAACCCAGGTCCTTTGGAAGACCAGCCATTGCTTTTAGCCACTGAGCCATCTCTCCCATCCTCGATTGCTTGCTTTTTAAAACAAATATTATTAAGTTGATTTTTTTTTTTCCTGAAACAAGGTTTCTCTGTAGCCTTGGCGCCTATCCTGGAACTAGCTCTTGTAGACCAGGCTGGCCTCGAACTCAGAGAGATCCACCTGCCTCTGCCTCCCGAGTGCTGGGATTAAAGACGTGCGCCACCACCGCCCAGCAAGTTGATTTATTTTATTTGTGAGGTGAGAGACGTGTGGAGATCAGAGTATGGGGATTGCTTCTCTCCGTTCACCATTCGGACCAGGGATCAAACCCAGGTGTGTCAAGCTTGGTGTGGCAAGGGCTTGGACCTGTTCAGCCATCTTGCTGGCCCTGCATTGATTTTTACAAGAATATATTTAAACATCCCTGTGAACAGTAGAGTTCAGTTATTTGATTGGATATTACCTTTTCTTTCTTTAGGTTTGTTTGTTTTGTTTTTTAAGTAGAATCTCATGTAGCCTGGAGTGGTCTTAGACTCACTATACAGCCAACATCACCTTGAATGTCTGCCCCTCCCTCTACTTCTCCAGTATTGGGGTTGTAGGCATTTGCCATCATTCTTGCTTTTATGCATGGATTGAACCCAGTGCTTTGTATGTTCCAGGCAAGTCCTTTACCTTCTGAGCCACGTTTCTAGCCTTGTTTTGCATGACATTTTAAATGATCTGTAATTTAGTTATTTTTCATTTTTAATTTATGTGCATGTATGTGTGAGGATGTCAGATCTTGGAGTTACAGACAGTTGCGAGCTGCCATGTGGGTGCTGGGAATTGAACTCTGGGTGAGCAGCCAGGGCGCTTACCCACTGAGCCATCTCTCCATCCCCATGATCAGTTATTTAAAAATAAAAATACAAAACAAAAGCAAAATCTTCTGTTGACGCACAGCCTCCATCAACAATCTTCCAAGCCAGCTGTGCAACACAGCTCTCTAGTGTTTTCTGTTGAGACTTTAACTTTACAGTTTATGAGTAAGATTTTTAAAGCTTAGTAGTTATTTCATTAGAGAGACCGCCCGTCATTTTCTTCTCGCACCTTTATGCCTGATAGTTCATGGGTCATGATTTTCTTCAGTACAGTATGAGAGGATGTGAATGCGCCCAGTGACAGCGCGCCTGCCCCGCGTCTCTGCGCCAGGACTCTGGGCTCAGTCTCCAACTCTGGAAAGAGGGAGAGATGGAGGAAGAGGGAGAGGAGAAAGGGGAGGAAAGAGGCTGCTGGATTTATGAATTTAATACATAAATCTAAAATGATAAGAACAAAAACTGGTACTCAGATGCCAGAAGCAGACACAAGAATGCCCTTAGGGTTTCATCCTTTGGCAGCTTCATTTTTCCTGGTATAGAGGTCTGACTTAAGTTTATACTGCTTTGATTGTATGTGTTAATCATATTTAGTATAAAATTGCAAATGTATAAAATTGGTCAGGAATTCCAAATTATTTTGGTATTTTGTTATCTTAAAAATGGATTAGGAGGGGGCTAGAAAGGTGGCTTAGTGTTTAAGAGCACAGGCTGCTCTTATGAAGGACCTGTGTTTGATTCCTAGCACCTACATGGTGGCTCACAACCCTTATGACTTTAGTTCCAGGGCATTCTGTGCCCTTGTCTGACCTCTGTGGGTGCTGCACAGGTGCAGAGAACACCCATACCTGGCAAAACAGGCAAAAACATTTATATACATAAAATAAAGATTAAAAATAAGTATTTTTAAAAATTGTTTCCAACACCCCCCCCCCAAAAAAAAGGAACTGGAGAGATGGCTCAGTGGTTAAGAATGCTTGCCAGGGACTGGAGAGATAGCTCAGAGGTTAAGAGCACTAACTGTTCTTCCAGAGGTCCTGAGTTCAAGTCCCAGCAACCACATGATGGCTCGCAACTGTCTGTGCTCAGAACACTGTATACATAATAAATCTTTAAAAAAAATGATTGGGGGCTGGTGAGATGGCTCAGTGGTTAAGAGCACTGGCTGTTCTTCCAGAGGACCTGAGTTCTCTTCCCGGCACCCACAAACTCAAAACTGTCTGCAACCTTCATACCAGTGCACATAAAATAAATTTAAAAAAATGATTGTCAGTCTTGCGGAGGACCTGAGTTCTGTTCTCAGTACCCATATCCACCATTTGTCACTCTGCTTCTAGGGGTTCAGCACCGCATACCCACATCTAAAGATAACAATAATAAAGGTGGATTAAGCCGCATGTTAATGAGTCTGTCTGTTGTCTTGCAGCTTTAACTGCTTATACTTACCTCACCATTTTTGATCTTTTTAGGTAAGTTTTTTTAAATATTCTTTAAATTTTAAAGACAACAAACAAGGATGTATTATACTGATTTATTTCCTAACCTTTCTTTGCTTAAAGGAAAGTAACTAGCTAAATAAGTAAATTTATCATAGAAATGACAGCACCCAGTGGTGTAACAAGAAAATATTGCCCCTGTATAACAATAGAAAGTGAATACCCAGGCATAAACTTAGGATGTACACACGCTGAAGATAACAGAAGCCGGGTGGTGGTGGTGCATGCCTCTAGTCCCAGCACTCGGGAGGTAGAGGCAGGCAGATCTCTGTGAAGTTGAGGCCAGCCTGGTCTACAGAGTGAGCTCCAGCACAGAGAAACCCTGTTTCAAAAACAACAACAAAAAAAAGAAAGAAAGAAAGGAAGGAAGAAAGAAAGGAAGAAAAAAGAAAAAGAAATCCAAAAACAAACATAAAAATCACAAAGCATGTACTTAAAATCACACACACACACACACACACAAAACTGGACGCTGGCTTAGTAGTTAAGAGCCTGTATTCCTCCTCCAGAGGACCCAAGTTAGGTTCCCCTAGTACCGCGCCAGTTGATTTACAATGGCGTGAACCAGCAGCTTCAGCAGGCTCTGGTGTCTTTGGTCACCTGTGCTCAAGTGCACACACAAGTACACATTAATTATAAGAAAACATTAAAATCACACAATTCTCCAAAATTTAGTTACCCTTGACAAACTTAATGTTTACAGTAGTTTCCCTTATCCATGGTTTTACCAACTACAGTCTGAAAATCTAAGTGGAGAATCCAAAAGTAAGCTATTTCTGCACAAGTTTTGCATTGTATGCTATTCTGAGCAGTGTAGTGAACTCTGGCGCTGCCCTGACTCACCCAGCCCAGGGCATGAATCATCACTGTGTGCAGTTTGCACACAGTGTAGGCCTGTCTGTCGTCTGTTATCACATAGTGCTCGTAGTGCTCAGGTGGGCCTGACACAAGGACACAGTGCTGCCTCCACTCCATCCTGGCTAGTTTTATGTTAGCTAATACAAACTAGAGTCATCTGGGAAGTGGGGCTCTCAGGTAAGAAAATGCTTCAGCCAGGCATTGGTGACTCACGCCTTTAATCCCAGCACTCGGGAAGCAAAAGCAGATGTATCTCTGTGAGTCTGAGGTCAGCCTGGTCTACAGAGCAAGTGAAAAGAAAATACCTTTATAGGATTTGCCCATAGGCAAATCTGTAGTGCATTTTCTTAACTCGTGATTGATGTGGGAGGGTTCCACATTGGTAGTGCCACCCCGGGCAGGAGGTTTTGGAGTTTATAAGAAAGCAAACTGAGCAAGCTCAGACTGTGAGGAGCCATCCAGTAAGCAGTACCCCTCCATGGCCTCTGCATCAGCTCCCACCTCCAGGTTTCTCTGCTCTGCTTGAGTTCCGTCCTGACCTCCTTCAGGAATGGACTGTGACCTGAGAGCTATGAGCTGAGATAAACCCTTCCCTCCCTAGAGTGTTTATGGTCATGGTGTCTACCATGCACAGTGCCTACGCCCTTCACCTCCCTTCATCTCTCATGGACACTATGGCAGCATGCTCCGGAAGAAGAAGCGGGAGAGGATAGCACATTTTGAGTGGAGGGGGAGATGTCCCAGAGTCAGTACGGAGCCTGCCACATAGATGAACTATGGATTGAAGATCTGTGCAGTTGACTTAGTGTGATACAATTTCACTCAGTCTTCTCTTTAAAACTGTTATTGTCCAGAGAAGCATGTGTTAAGAGGGTCATTAAGGTTAACTAGGAATTATAATTTGTTATTAACCTACTGTATATGAACAGTTCTCAACAACCAAGGGATTCTAAAGACTTAATTTGTTGGAAAACTAGAGAGAGGGTTCTGTGCTTGCTACTCCTGCTGTGGACCCAAGTAAGCTGCTAGCAGTCATGTCAAGTGGCTCACAGCCACTTGTGTCCTCAGCTCCAGAAGATCCAACACCATCTTCTGGCCTCCACTGCACCTGCAGAAACACACACACACACAGTAAAATAAACCCTTATTGTGAACAACTGCTTCATAGGCCAGCCTAGTCTATATAGGGAGTTCTAGGACAGACAGAGTTATACAGAGAAACCCTGTCTCAAAACAAACAAACAAACAAAAGCCCCTCTTCATTTGTCTATGCATGTCTTCCTGTCCCTACTTTCTAATGTTCTAATGCAAAGTTTGTTTTCCCTTAGTCTAATAACATGTTTGATAAGCTACTGGGTAATGATGAGGAAGCCTAGCCCTGTCTATTCATTTGGGTAAGTTCAAATCATTTTATTTTCTGCTAAGTTTTTGCTTAAAATAATTTTTGTTAAAATAATAGTGGTAGAGCGCTGGCTATAGTATTTCTGGAAAATAGAAATAAATGTCACCTGCTTAGTGACATGGTGATAAATAGTGAGCGTACATAAGAAATGACATAAAATAAAAATAGTAATATTAAAATATTCATATTTAGTTGTTTTATATTTTATGAAAGAAATATTAACAAATTCATCTCAGTAAGCTCTTTAATATTTTTGAATATTTTAGTCATAGATAGTATGAAGAATTTTAACAAATGAATTTTATAAGTGCTGTGATATATTTCAATATTTTGCATTGATGGAGACAGATTTCTATTGTAAGACTTTGGATTTAGCAGTGAGCTAACAAAACTGTGAAGCTTCTGTTTCTATGGCTATGGAACTCACTGAGAGTTGAAAGATGTGCTTTTTCTAATGGAGGAGGCTCTGATTGTGTTAGAAAGCATGAAGGCACCCTCGTAATGACTTGCGCTGGTTATTTTTATGCTGCAATGACAAAATACCAGCAAAACAACTTGGCAAAGGAAGAAGTTGTTCCGGCTCACTGTTTCAGAGTTCAGGTCATGGTCTCTTGGCCATGCGAGGCTGAGCACAGCATCACCGTTGTGGGAGAGGATAGGAGAAGACAGCTGTTCCTTGGAGGACAGAAAGCAGAGCAAAGAGGCTTACAGGAAGTGACCAGATCACAGGCACGCCGCTCACTGTTTCCTCTAGCTAGTCCCCATCTCTTCCCTTTGCCACCTCCCAGTTAGGACTCCCATATTATGACCGTCGAGGCACCAGCTCATTAATTACGTTAGAGCCCTCGTTTTCTGATTATTTCTGGAGACACCGTCACAGACTCACCCAAGGTGTGCTTTGCTGGTCCTGTAGGTGTTTCTTTATTCAGTCAAGGGAGCCACTACAGTACTTAAGGTTTAATGGAAGTCATACGGGCAGTAGTGTCCAGTACAAAATGGGTCAGTTGAGTGTTAGCTCTTATGATAATGGTTATTTCTACAAAAAATAATGGCCATAAATGGTTATAGAATCAGGTATAAAGTAGGTACTGTTGTTCGTTCCAGTTTTCATTGTTGCGTTGTCTTTGGGAGCTCGTTTGCAGGCGCTCCAGGGGGTAGGGGGGGATATAGAAAGTCTATGTCCTCGATTGAAAAACAGTTTTCTTGTGTGGGGGAAGATGTCCTTTTCTGCATAGCTCTGGGAAGGACACACATGAGCAGGCAACCTGACAGTCAGGAAGGTGGAGATGGCACAGCCAGATCATCCTTTTGCCCACTGTGTCGATACACTCGCCTACAATTTCTGTAGTCTGCTCATGCATGGACCGAGTCATATATTTGAATGTATATATGTTCTAGGAAGACTGGTTTATTAATTGAGGGATTTTGACTATCAAACTAATTATCTGATTTCAGGTTTGAAAGATTAGAAGTCCTGGCTGTGTTTGCGTCTACCGTCTTGGCACAGTTGGGAGCTCTCTTTATACTAAAAGAAAGGTACATTTTTGTATGTGTTATGATCAGCCTCACCTGTGACAGCTGGAAATCTGAGAGGCTCCAGGGGCGGTTTGGGTGACATGCGGGTTATAATGGACAGTGCTGGGGCCCTGATAGGACAACTTCTTCTTCCAGACTCCTTCTCTTATTTCGCACTCCTACTTTTCCACCCCTAGTGTTTTCTTTGGTAGTACTAAATTCAGTCATGGGTGAATCTGGATGGAAGAGATTCAGCCTGGCATGTGTTGAAGTGGGCTTGGTAGAGGAATGTTGACATCGCACATTGAGCATAGCCTGCCTGCTAATCTCCTGGCATCATCTCCACTAAACGTACTAAGAGATTTGTATGAACTTCGGGTGGGTTAACTATGTATTTATAGTAGGAAACTATGTATTTAATATGGATTTTTAGGTTTGTAACTTAACAAAACTTATTTGACATATTTTTATTTCTTTTAGTGCAGAACGTTTTTTGGAGCAGCCTGAGATACACACGTAAGCTGCGTTATTTATTTATTTATTTATTTATTTATTGCGACCACGAGGATTAATCTCAATCATGGGGCTTCATATATTCCACCACCGACACACGTCTCCAACCAAAGATTTTTATTTGGGGTGTCATTTACTGTTATTTCTAATCCCAATTACTAGTTGCTCCATTATTACTTTGTCCAGCGTCAGAGTTCTGAGTATGACCGTGTGTCTTATCACCTGCATCTCAGGAAGAGAACCTCCAAATCCCAACTCTCTTTTCGCCTTTAACAGCGCCCAGACCTTGGGCTTTGTAATGGCACAGGAAGGATTTTGTAACTTCAGGCCTAGGTCAGCACATTACGCCAGCTCCCGCGAGTGTTCTGTCTTTTAACACTTAACCCCCAGAACTTTCCGCGTGGCCTTTAGAAAAGATAGCATTTCCACCCACCTGCTCACCAGCTCTGTGGGCTCTTTCTAGTTAACTGAGGAACATCCGACTCGTCTAGCATGTTGGCATGAGCTCCCTTCAGAGACCCGTCAGGTCCTGTGTAAATGGAGCAGCATGCAAGGCATAAGTTCTGGGGCTAGACAACAAGTTTGGATTCTGGTCGGCAGACCATTGCGGCGGGTCCCTCTCCCCACCCTCTCCCCCTTTTCCACATACTGAAGTTACAGAATGGAAATACCTGTCAAAGAATTCAAGGTGAATGTTTTCTTCTTTTTAGGGGAAGATTATTAGTTGGTACTTTTGTGGCTCTTTCTTTCAACCTGTTTACAATGCTTTCTATTCGGAATAAGCCTTTCGCTTATGTCTCTGAAGGTATGTCTTTGTTCTAGTTTACTGTTTATTAGAAAATCTACTGGGCTTCTTTTTGTTTGTTTGTTTGGTTTGTTTTGTTTTTCGAGACACAGTTTCTCTGTGTAGCCTTGGCTGTCCTGGAACTCACTCTGTAGACCAGGCTGGCCTCAAACTCACAGAGATCCGCCTGCCTCTGCCTCCTGAGTATTGGGATTAAAGGCATGTGCCATCACTGCCCATCCTTGTAGCTTTTTAAAAAATATATTTACTCTTTGTGAGGAGTATGTATGACATGACACGAAGGTCAGAGACCAACCAAGGGAGTCAGTTCCTTCATTCCATCACGTGGGTCTCAAGGCTCACACTTAGGTCATCAGGCTGAGCCGCCTTGCCATCCCTAAAGCCACATTAAATGTGCCAGCGATGTGTCAAATCCTCTAATTCTTCTGACTGTGTGTGGAAATTGAAACTGCTTTAGAATTAGCGTCTGGTCAAGACAAGGGAAGCAGCTGTGACTGTGAAGATAGGCATTGCCCTTTGTCATGTTACATAGACACTGCAAACTCGGGTTGGAAATGAAAGAACTTGTTTTTCTAGTAATGGTTTTTTCTTCTATAGAGATAACTTAAGTATTTTCTCCTTAAAGCTGCTAGTACGAGCTGGCTTCAAGAGCATGTGGCAGACCTTAGTCGAAGGTAAGATGCTGTGGAACTTCATGGCTTTCATAATTTACCAAGAATCCCCAGAGGTGTGTCTGTCACGGAAGCTCAGGTTTGCAGCTGAAACCACTGCATGAGCTGCTCTCAGTTCAGTTCTCGTTCTCTCTAACCCATGGCGCAGAATTCCCAACAGTGGCAGATCTTTGTGCCCGAGTCCTCTTTGCGCTGTAAGATGTAAAGTCCACCTTATCTGTAACAATGTTTGTATTGATAGTGCATGAATTCTTCTAACGAACACTCTGTCTGGTCTTTCATAGTTTGTGTGGCATTATCCCAGGACTCAGCAGTATCTTCCTGCCCCGTATGAATCCGTTTGTCCTGATTGACCTTGCTGGGGCATTTGCTCTGTGTATAACATACATGCTGATTGAAATTAAGTGAGTATATTGTATTGCTATCAGGTGTGCTTTTGATTCCTGGGACCTGATTTTTAAGGGCATTGACAAGGTAGATTTGGGGCTAGGCTTCTAGCAGTTTTGCTAATTCCCCGTGCAACTTGGTCAGGCCTTATCCTCAAGTGTTTCCATCTGAAAAATTAGGGGAAACAGGCGTCAGTATTCCTCACCAGAGTTTATAGTGAGAGTCAGAAAATGATTGAATTCCCCCTGCTGACGTGACGAGAGGGGCAGACAGCAGGAGGAGGGCTGTCTAGGTCAGAACTGCTGTTGCCGCTGAGAGGAAGAAAGGTGAGCAGGCCAGGTGCAGCTTCAAAATAAAACTAAAGCCTTTTAAAAATAGACATTACAGCTGCCTTTAGATCAACATTTTACAGCTCAATTGTCTGACTGACTTACCCTTTAGGCAGTGGTATGTACTGTAATGGCTTCTTAGTTGTTACGATCTTTTTTATATATTTTATACTTACGTTGAATTCCAAAGCGTTAGCTCCCTGACTCCTGGCCGTGTTGAGCATCCTGGCCCATCACTGGAACCTGTTTCTGACATTTTCTGTGTGAGTCACCTGTCAGCTGTCAGCTCTCCCAGTGCTGTGCACAGTGCAGTGCACATGTTCCTTTCTCTTCTAGTATTTGTTTATTTGGGTGCCAGCATCTGTGCGGCAGTCAGAGACTGCTCTGGGGAGCCCGTGCCCGCCTCCTGCCTTGCTGAAGCTGGATCCCTCACATCTGCTGCATGCTCCAGACTCGGTAGCCCGTCGGCTTCTGGGGCTGCTCCTATCCCTGCCTCCCATCTCACTGTGGGAACTCTGGGATTACAGTGCAGATGCGGATCAGCACATCCAGCTTCTTACACGAGCTTTAGTGAGCCAGCTCGGCGTCAGGCCTGGGAGGCAGAGCGCTCAAACTCACTGAGCCACCTCCCTAGTTCTGATGTGTTGGGATTTTATTCTTACTGTAAGCATTTTTATAACATATAGTTAAGTGCATTCACGTTTGGTACAGTCATCATCCCTTACTGAAATTCTATACCCATCCAAATAATACCGCCCCATTTTCCCTTCTCAGAATCCCTGGTAACCACCATTCTACATTCTGCTTCTCATTTTAACTACGATATAAGTAAAATCATACAATCATGTTTTTGTGGCTGGCTTGTGTTTCATATAGCAATGTTTTCACAGGTCATGTTGTATATGTCTACATTTCCTTTCTTTTTGAGGCTTAATCCCACACTTTATTTACCCAGTCATCTGCCAGTAACATTTGGATTGATCCCACTTTTTCTCTGCTGAGAATAATGGCACTGTGGACTGAGGTATGCAGTCACCCATTTCAGTCCCTGCTTCCAGTCTGGCAGTGTCTACCCAGAAGTAGACTTGCTGTAGCATGTGTGTATTGTAAGAACTCCAATGCATTCTTCAGGACCTGCTTAATCTCCATCTTTGCCGAGTCTTCCTCAAGCCAGGTCTAACGCATACTCAGGCTTTCCTTTCTTTCTTTCTTCCTTCCTTCCTTCCTTCCTTCCTTCCTTTCTTTCTTTCTTTCTTTTTTTCGGAAGCAGGGTTTCTCTGTAACTTTGGAGCCTGTCCTGGACTTTGGAACCTGTCCTGGAACTCGCTCGGTAAACCAAACTGGCCTCGAACTCACAGAGATCCACCTGCCTGATTAAAGATGTGCCAGTATTTTCTTTTTTTGTTTAAAGATTTTATTATTAGCTATCTAGCTATCTAGCTATCTATTTATTTATTATGTGTATGCCTGCAGGCCAGAAGAGGGCACTAGACCTCATTGCAGATGGTTGTGAGCTACCACATGGTTGCTGGGAATTAAACTCAGGACCTTTGGAAGAGCAGGCAGTGCTCTTAACAACTGAGCCATCTCCCCAGCCCTGCCAGTGTTTTCTTGATGTGCTTTTGTCTCCTCTCTGCTATTTTGCTGCTGTTTAAAGCCATAGTCCACCATCACTGTCTTTGTTTCTGTTTTCGTTCTCACCCATCTCTATCATCATTTTCCGTGTTACTACTCCTGCCGTCCTCATCTCTTCCAATAACCAGTGGGATTTTCCACTTGCAGATCCCTCTGTAAAACTTTAAGGCTTTTAGCTTGGGCTCCTGTACAGTCAGCCCTCTGTACACCTTACCAGCCAGCACCCATCTGGACCTGTGTTCGTGTCTGCATCATGGTTTTCATCCCCTTGCCCATGTTGCTTTCTCTTTCTGGAATATCTCCTGCCATCAGTTTGTTCATTTCTGAACGCTCAACTCCTTTTTTGTTTGTTTAATGTGAGGATAATTTGTCTGTATGCATGTCTTCGCTGTGTATGTGCCTAGTGCCCATAGAAGCCAGAAAGAGGTTTTGGATGCCCTGGGAGTGGAATTGCAGACCGTTGTGAGTGTTGGGAATGGTCTCTGGGAAAGCCACAATTGCTTTTAACTGCTGAGCCATCTCTCTAGCCCTCGCTTTTCTGAATTAGGCCCATCCTGGTAGCCTCATTGCTCTCTCTGTGTGGGTAATGTCCTATAGAGACGTGTGCGCTACCATTACTGTTACTTTGTTACTTTATTTATTGGGATTTTATGATAAGGCCTCATGTAGCCCAGGTTGACCTGGGGCTTAGTACTTAGTACACAGCCAAGGCTGGCCATTAACTGTGTGTGGATCCTCCTGCTTTTATCTCCCTAATGCTGGTCTGTGCCATGACCAGTTTGAGACTTCTCTAACACACACAGTGAGACACTGTAGCTTTTTTCTGTGTACCCTTTGCCCTGTCTACAGCAGAAACTGTGCCTTATTCCTGTTTCTATCCCCCCATAAGGGGACGTAAATGTGTTCAGAATCAGCTTGTATCCACTAGCATTTTGATCTGTCTTGTTGGGAGAGCTTCAGGTTTGTTTTGTTGTTGTTGTTTGTTTGGGTTTTGGGTTGTTTTTTGTTTTTTGTTTGTTTGTTTGTTTTTGGTTTTTCGAGACAGGGTTTCTCTGTAGCTTTGGAGCCGGTCCTGGAACTTGCTCTTGTAGGCCAGGCTGGCCTCCGACTCTCAGAGATCCACCTGATTCTGCCTCCTGAGTGCTGGAATTAAAGGCTGGGATTAAAGGCATGTGCCCCCACCTCCCTGAGCAAGCTTCAGAATTTGAAACATTGATGCAGTATAATCCTTCTGCTATAATGTCGCTGTAACAGATTCCTGGGAAACTGAAATTTTTTGGTTTGCTTTTTTTAATTCAAGATTTCTCTGTGTAGCCCTGGCTGTCGTAGAACTTGCTCTGTAGACCAGGCTGCCCTTGAAGTTAGAGTTCTGCCTGCCCTTCCCTTCTAACGGTTGAGATTCAAACTGTGGGTCACCACACCCAACTCCGTTTTGAAGTTCTTAACGCAAGAATTTCTGAGAGCAAAAAGGGTGGGATCACTGATGAAAGTCATTAATACCTGGATCAGAATTAGCAGTTGAAGTCTTTGTTTCAGGTCTGCAGTCTTCCTGGTGTCGGGTCCATCAAAGTGGGGAGTGCTGCAGGCTCGCTTATCTTACCATCTCCCTGCACACTAGTGGACGCCGTTATTTTCCCACTAAACTTTGAGAGCCAGAAATTCTTAAAGCTGACTCTTTGGAGCTTGTTTGGATTTTTTTTTCCTCTTAGGTTCTCTCTTGACAGTAGTAGCTGTTGTGACTTTTTTTAAAAATTATTTTGTTTTTGATGATTACTGTTAGTTATCAATTGTAAAATGAACTGTACATTTAAGATGGAGAGTTGTTTTTCCTTGCAGTAATTACTTTGCTGTAGACACCGCATCTGCGATAGCCATTGCCCTGATGACCTTCGGCACCATGTATCCCATGAGTGTGTACAGTGGGAAAGTCCTTCTCCAGGTGAGGCTCTTGTTTGCGTTGCGTGCACATGTTTAGTGGGAGCCGTGTTGTTCTCCTACCAGGTGGAAACCTGGCATGTGTACTAGCAGGTGGGTAAAATATTAAAGATTGAAGAGCTGTGTTATCAGCGAAGTCAGACAGTAATTTCTGAAATTCGTTTAGCAGAAATTGGTTGGAATTTCATTGCCCTGTAATATTTTAGGCTCATGTTCTTTTGTGTTCCCTGTGGCATGCGATCATGAATTTACAATTATTTGCCTCTAATTGAATTTTAAGGGAAAGTAATATTATTAAGTATTTTTTTTAAGAGTCTTAATTTCTTCAGGTAAATAGGCTCTGGGTTTTATACATAGTCTAGTTACCCTTGGTTTTGTTTTGTTTTTCAAGACATGGTTTCTCTAGCCCTGGTCATCCTGAACTCACTATGTAGACTATGCTGGCATTGAACTCAGATCCTCCTGCCTCTGCCTCCAAGTGGTGGGATTGAAGGCGTGTGCCACCAGTGCCCAGCTACCATCAATTTTTTTTTTAATTTCCTGTCACTGGATGGTGTGTACCTGAGTATCTGTCTGTCTGTGCAGCTTGTGCGGGGAGGAGCCCTCTGATATCAGAAGAGAGCTCAGGTACCCTGGAACTAGAGTTACAGGCAATCGAGATCTTCCAGTTAGGGAACCAAACTGGTCCTTTTCTTGTTGTTTGTGGTTTTTTGAGACAAGGTCTTCCTTCATTTCCCTAGCGGTCCTGGAACTCACTGAGTGGAGTCACAGAGATCCTCCAAAGGTGTGTCTCACCACACACAGGAGTGGTGAGGCCTCTTAACTGCTGAGCCACCACTCAGCAGTTGGCTGAGCTCAGCTGGTTGGTTCTTAAGTCTCCTGGGATTCTAGAGAGCATCTTCGTAAGAAAAAGAGTGTGACATCTTCCTCTCGAGGAGGGGGCGGGCACTCTCATCAGTTCTTTCCTTAATCTGCGTTTGCTCAAAACAAACAACCCACAAATGAGTGTGGGCCAATTAGTGATGTCACCCTACTTAGCCAGTGAGACCTCTTGTCTAAATCATAATAGGACACATGTCAAAAATCAAAGGCTGGTTTGAAATCTGTTTATGGGTGTGGAGGAGGCTTCAGAATCATTATTGCAAAATTATTTTCTCTCTAGGCTATTCATACTTTATTTTATCTTTCTAGACTACACCACCTCATGTTATTGGTCAGTTGGACAAGCTGATCAGAGAGGTAAGATGAAATAATAAAGAAGTCTTTGTCTTGGTTTGTTTTTGGGTTTTTCTTTGGTTTGTTCCTGTTTGTCGAGACAGAGGGGTTTTTTTTGTTTTGTTTTGTTTTTTTGGTAGTCCTGGAACCAACCTGTCGTGGAACTCCTCGCTCACAGAGATCTGCCTGACTCTTCCTCTCGAGTGCTGGGTGGGATTAAAGGTGTGCGCCACCACCGCCCAGCAAATAAGTCATTTTTTAAAAAGTTTATGTTAGGGAAGTTAAAGGGTGGGTATAATCTGTTCAACTTGAGAATTTTATTTGGGGGAGTTTGTGTTCACTAACGGTAGAAATTGTAGCCCAGGGACAGAAGTGGGTGCTCGAGCAGCTGCTCAGTCGGGAAGCTGAGCTGACTGGAAGTACACGTGGAAGGGAGTGGGCTGGAGACACCAGGCAAAAGTCCATGTCTACAAGATAGTCCACCTTAGTTTGTAGATCTTCTTTTGTAAGAAAGTTCTGCCTGCTAATGAAGAAGAAATATTGGTTTGGATGTTGACACTGTTCTCAGTTCTTGGTTGTCCGTCCCAAAGGCCACTTTTTCCAACACAGCTGGATGCATGTCTCAGCCTGAACCCTGGCCCTGCCCATGTCTTTGTTACCACTGTCCCCATGGCTGTATCTGGTGCTGGAATTTACTGACAGCCTACACTCAAATAGAGGTTTGTTAGATGAGGAGCCAGGCAAAGACACAACTAACATGGATTTACACACCCTACAGAGGAAAGCAAGTACCACAAATGATTGTCACAAACATATCTACCTTGTTCAAAAACAAAACCATAGCACAATAAAGCCCAGAGCAGTCTGCACCTGGCTCAAGGAGTGGGGCAGCCTGGGTCAGGACTGAACAAACAGGCTTTATCTGAGACCTCTGAAAGCTGATGTGTGTCCTTGCACAGGGTTTAGCTGAGACCTCTGATAGCCGATGTGTGTCCTTAGCACAGGGTTTAGCTGCGCCATTTCTAGGCTTCCAGCAAGTCTGTAATGCATACATTGCTATGTCTAATGCGGGTAACTCATAAACTGCTCTTGTGTTTTGATTAGGTATCTACCTTGGATGGGGTCTTAGAAGTCCGAAATGAACACTTTTGGACCCTTGGATTTGGCTCATTGGTATGCTTTCTGCAAGTTCATTTAGTGTAATTTAAACATGGTTTTTAAAGTTAAAAACTTCAGTAGAATTTCTTTAAAATTTTCATGGTGGGTAAAATTTTCATGGTGGGGGCTGGAGAGTTGGTTCAGTGTTTAGAATACTTGCTCTTTTTGGAGAACCTGAGTTAAGTTGCCAGTACCCACATGGTAGGTCACAGCCTCTGTTAATTCCAATCCTGGGCAATGTCAGCAGGCACCAGACACACAAAGTGTACAAACATATATGCAGGCAAAATACTCATACACAAAAAATTAAAATAAATCTTTAAACCATTTTCACGGAAGCTTGGATTTTCTGTTATGTTTAATGGCATCTAAAATACTGACAGGTTCAGTTCCTTTATTGAGATTAAAGGGTCTTTTTCTTCTTTTTAGTATTTATTTATTATGTATACAATATTCTGTCTGTATGTATGCCCACAGGCCAGAAGAGGGCACCAGACCTCAACCTCATTACAGATGGTTGTGAGCTACCATGTGGTTGCTGGGAATTGAACTCAGAACCTTTGGAAGAGCAGGCAATGTCCTTAATCTCTGAATCATCTCTCCAGCCCCTTCTTTCTTCTTTTTATTTTTTATTTTTTTATATTTAATTATTTATTATGTATACAATATTCTGTCTGTGTGTATGCTTGCAGGCCTGAAGAGGGCACCAGACCTCATTACAGATGGTTGTGAGCCACCATGTGGTTACTGGGAATTAAGCTCAGGACCTTTGGAAGAGTAGCCAGTGCTCTTGACCACTGAACCTTCTCTCCAGCCCCATAAAAACCTCTTTTTTTCCCTTTGTGTGGTCCTGACCTGGAACTCAGTCTGTAGATCAGGCTGGTCTCAAACTCAGAGATCCACCTGCCTCTGCCTCTGCCTCCTGAGTGCTGGGATTAATGGCATGCCACAGCGTCACCCAGCCCTCCTGAACTTTACAATGAAGAGTGACTTACTTAAGGCAGCATTTATAAACACGTGGGGATCTAGTGAGGAAGAGTTGCCTTTCTCCTGACTGCTCCTGTTGGCCTAACCTCCCCCACACACTGCTTCTGCTGGGCCCAGTGTAGATTCTCTTCCCGGTTCTTTTTTTATTAATATTATTTATTAATTTATTTTATGGATATGAGTGTTCGTCTTCACACACGTCAGAAGAGGGAATCAGATCCCATCACAGATGGCTGTGAGCCACCATGTGATCACTGACACTGGCAACTGAACTCAGGACCTCTGGAAGAGCAGCCAGTGCCCGTAACTGCTAAGCCACCTCTCATCTCTCCAGCCCCACCCCCACCCCCAGTTCTTCTTAATGTGGGCCTTTGTCCTAGGCAGGAGCTGTGTCTGGTTAGCTCTGTAAGCTCGCCGGGCTCCATTGCAGACCAGTGTGCTTGCCCTCTGCTCTCGCTGCTTTCTCCGGTTGCCTGTCTCGGATTTCCAGTCTCCAGCTATCGTTTAACTGCTTAGGGGTTTGTAGGTCAGTAGGTGTCTCTGCTTCCACTCTGCCACTAAGGCACACCCTTGGGCTCCCCAGCATTGGCTTTCCTGGCTGTAGAATTTTATGTAAATATCCTCGAATCCCTTAGTCAGTCCCCTGGTGCTCATTTAGATGAGTTTTTAATTGTCCTGTTTAAGTAGGCTGTGATGAGCAGTTTTTGAAATAACTTTTATATATACCCATGACTATTCTTTAAGATTTTTAGCTAGGCATGCTAAAACATGCCTTTCGTTCCAGGACTCAGGAGGCGTAGGCAGGTAGATCTCTGTGAGTTCAAAGCCAGCCTGGTCTTCATAGCAAGTTCCAGGCCAAACCAAGGCTATATAGCAAGACCTTGTCAAAAAAAAAAGGAAAAAAAAAGGAAAAAAATCAAATTTTTACAGCCTTTAATACAGATTAAATTAATACAGATTATCAAACTGCCTTTCAGAATGGCTGTACCAACTAGTTATCTCCTGGCGTGCATTTTCACGTGTGTGTCGGGGAGGGGGGTGTTGTGGACAGGTGTGTAGAGGCCTGAGGTTGATGTCAGGTATCTTTCTTGTTACCCCCCTAACTAACATATTGAAACAGGGTCTCTCAGTTGAACCTAGGCTAGTCTCAAACTCACAGATCCTCCTGCCTCTGCCTCTCGGTGCTAGGACTAAAGGCGTGCGCCACCACACCCAGCCACTTCTTCTACTCTTTGAAATTCCGGTTAGTTGTCAGCTCTGGGTCAGAGGCGGTTGTCTTCTCAGATCATCAGCAGCTGTGATAGAATCCCAGCTTTGCTGCGTTTCCGTGCTGTGCCTTCCCAGGTGCTGAGACCTCAGATGTGCACTACTGTGCCTGGTTTGTGTAGGGCCAGATCAGACTCGGGACTCCTGTATGCATTCTGTCAGCTAAGGGGTCACAAATCATTTCACTCACCATTTACGCTGATAAGTACCAGCAGTAAATAGCAAGATGCTATGTTTTTTCTTATTTAAAAAAAAATACCAAGTATCAATCAAGTTATGAATAGAACAGAATTCTCAGTATTATAATTCTAAGCAGTCTTTTATGATTTTTCCCTCTTTTAGGCTGGGTCAGTCCATGTAAGAATCCGACGTGATGCAAATGAACAGATGGTCCTTGCTCATGTGACCAACAGGCTGTGCACACTTGTGTCTACTCTGACAGTTCAGATTTTCAAGGATGATTGGGTGAGGCCTGCCTTACTGTCTGGGCCCGCGACACCCAGCGTGCTGCACTTCTCAGACCATCACGTCATCCCGATGCCTCTCCTAAAGAGTGCCGATGCCGTGACCCCAGTCACATCAACACCAGCCAAACCCAGCAGCCCGCCTCCGGAGTTTGCATTCAATACCCCTGGGAAAAACGTGAGCCCGGTGATTCTCCTGAACACACAGACGAGGCCGTATGGTTTGGGTCTCAATCGTGGACACACACCATACAGCAGTGTGCTCAGCCAAGGACTCACAGTTCCAGGATTTGGAGCAGGCCAGGGATTGAGGCCCCCCTTCCCACATATACCGAGTAGGTATGGAAACAACAGGATGGGACAGCCAAGACCTTGAAGGACTCTAACTTATTTTTATGGAGACTATTGGCTCCTTGGCTTCCAGTGTACTTAGTAATCCACCTTGCGTTGACTGTTCAACCATTTGTCAGATTACTGCAGGCTTGTTCATATTTCATGAAACCCATAAACTATATTTTTGTAAAATGTTCTTGTGGCAGTGAGGTCTTTGAAAATGTCCTGGGTGTTAGGTGGGCGTCCTTCAGAAAGCCCCTTTCTCTAAGCTTGCACATTGGCTGTTTGTAGCTGCCCACAGTGTGGTGTGACCTGACCTGACCTCCGAGAGCAGAGCCATGTGCCCCTTCCTAAGAACACTCCATCCCTCCGGTGCTCCGTGTGTGCTGCCCCTTTAGGAAATGAAGCATCGGTGTCCACTTGAAAAGTCAGAGTCTCTTTTACAGCTTTTCTAAGCTTAGTTGGCACATTATTTTGAGGTCCTCCTGATCATTTTTTGCTAAATAAAAAGTAAAAGTTTTTATCAGAAATTGTGAGACATACTCTACTACATAGCACAGTTTAACTCTTTTTAGTCTTCTGAAGCAGGGCCTTGCTGTATAGACCAGGCTGGCTTCAAACTCATAATCCTCCTGCCTCAGTCTTCCAAGTGCTGGGATTGTAGCCACCATACAGGTATATTCTACATTTTTAAATAATGAGTTTTGAATAAAGTTTTTCCATTTACAAATGTAGTACATTTGTAGATAGTCCACTCTTCTCGGTGTTTTATTTGGTTACAAATACCAAACCTTTGGTAAAATGGAATGAATTAAAAAACAAATTGCCGTTTTCTATGTTACATTTAGTCAGTCGTCCAGTGACTGACTACAATAGCTATACTTTGGTTTTGAATGAGTAAGTTTATTAAGATTATAGCAAGTTAAGGTAAAAGAAAATAAACAGCAACAGATAGGAAGATAGGTAGCAAGACATCATCAGTTGTGCGCCCAGAACATCCAACAGAAACCTACTGGGGAGCTCCTGCCAGGCGGCCAGCTGGAGTTCTTGTCCAGTCTGAGCAGAGCAGAGTGTCCCTTCTAGGGAGGCTTCCAAGTGAAAGACAATTAGCAACAGAGATAAAATCATCTAGTGAGAAGCAACAGCACCCTACAGAGACACCTGGGAACAGAAGGCGACTACAGTCTGACTGAGCTTCTCTCTCCCTCCTCGGGCACCTCTGTATCAGGGCAAACAACTAACGCCTCATGGAAGTGGCTCGCCTAGCTGTTCTCAAGGACGCATACTCTAACCTTGGGCTGTTTTGCTGTTCTCCCTCTCTGTCAGTCCATCCCCAGACAGACATGTTTGGGTCTGAAATGGGAGTGGGACGACCCCACTTCCACAGCACCTTCTCAGCTTAAACAAACACATGGCAATTTACTGGTGCAACATCATTACATAAACACTAACAATAATGGAATTTTTGTCTCATTTTAATAAACTAGCTTTAAGATGTTTCATTTTATGAACAAAACATCATATATACACACACACACACACATATACATACATGCATACATACATCTATCTCTATATATAGATTTAGATCGTTTTGGTTTGTTTTGTTTAGTTTTTTGAGACAGGGTTTCGTTTTGTGTAGTCCTGGCTGTCCTGGACTCACTCAGGCTGGCCTCGAGCTCCTCCTGCCTCTGCCACCCCAGTGCTGGGATTAAATGCATGCACCACCACTGCCTGGATCAAATGTATATTTTTATTGTGAAATTGGATTTTTTGTTTTGTTTTGTTTTTCGAGACAGTGTTTTGGAGCCTGTCCTGGAACTAGCTAGCTCTTGTAGACCAGGCTGGTCTTGAACTCACAGAGATCCGCCTGCCTCTGATTTCCAAGTGCTGGGATTAAAGGTGTGCGCCACCACTGCCCGGCTGAAATTGGATATTTTAGTCAAGATATTTTTAACAAGTATAATAACTGAAATGGACAAAAGACTTATTCCAATTCTGGCTTGCTTGCTTGCTTGCTTTATGTATGTATGTATGTATGTATGTATGTATGTATGTATGTATGTATGTATGTATATTCTATTCTGTCTGCTTGTATGCCTGCAGGCCAGAAGAGGGCACCAGACCTCATAACAGATGGTTGTGAGCCACCCTGTGGCTGAACTCAGGACCTTTGGAAGAGCAGGCAATGCTCTTAACCACTGAGCCATCTCTCCAGCCCAGTCCTGGCATTCTTATATATCAATAGTTTTGTAACCATTTCTCATTTACAGAGTTAGGGAGGGGAAAGAATTAGTTGATTTGTTAATGATTGGGTTTAAAATTTTATAATTAAAAGTGCACAACATGTGTCCAATTGCTAAGCAGATATTATACCGAGAATTTTTTATTTAACAGTGAGCCTAACTTACAGACCAGGTGCTGCCTGCACCAGTGCCCTGAGGTGCCGTGGAACAGAGGATGAACTACAGGCCAACACCGTTTTTGTGTTTTGTCCCCACTACCCCCAGACTTTTCTGTGTTTACATCTTTAGACAAGAGATTTTTTTCTTTTTCCTTTGTGGGAAAGGGTTATTTTGGAAGATGGTACACAAAAGATTAGAGCAGGGTTTCCCTCATACTTCTGTGGGGTACAGAGATTAGAGCAGGGTTTCCCTCATAGTTCTGTGGAGTGCAGAGATTAGAGCAGGGTATGAAAGAAAAGAATACGGTTTTCCTTCCCTCTTTCATTTCTGAGGTCATAGTTGGAATTACATACATTGATCTCCTGGGACCCATCCTGAGTTTCAAGCCTCTGATTGAGCTGATTTTGTGTGTCTGTGCATGTGTATGCATGTTTTCCAGACAGGGTTTCTCTATAACAGCTCTGACTGTCTTAGAACTCACTCTGTAGACCAGACTGCCCTCGAACTCAGATCTGCCTCCCCAGTGCTGGGATTAATGTGCGCCGCCACCACCCAGTAGGTTGCGCTGCTTTCGAACTGCCAATTTTTACTTGACCACAGATGCCCATTTGGGGCTGGCAGATGGCTTAACAGATAAAGACACCTATTACCACAAAGCCCAATGACCAGATGTCGAGGACCGACCTCAGCAAAACTATTTCTTACCAGGGTAGGGGCATGGGAGTTGAAGAAATATAAGTAAAGACTATGAAGATGCATAAAAATAATAAGACAGAAAACATAGAAAGTATCAGGAGGGCATTTCAGTGACTGAAATCCTGAAATTTACCCGTGTTTATTTTTCTACAGCCTTTAAACCCAACCTAAACTGGGGGGAGAAGGTAACAAAAGACTTTATTAGCATGATACAAAAGGATAACTCACACAGTCAATGGCTTTATTACTCTGAAACATCAAATCTTTAGCATTTTGTCATGTAGATGGCTAAGGTGCTCTAGGTCCCTATTCTGAAGACCGCCCTTTCCTAGGTGACCTCTTAGTTACTGAGAAAGGAGCAGAAGTGCATTTGCATATCCTGACCACCCCTCAGGATGGCACTGAGCTAGCTTAATTTCAAAAGAGCCAGGCAACCACCTCCTGACTGAGGAGGTGCAATTATGCTTGCCAGTCTCCAAACCCTCTGACGGGCAGACAAGGTGGAAATGGGCCTGCATTTTTCAGCCTCTACAGTTCTTCCCTTTTTATTAATATTAATAAAGCCTGTGCTTTTGCAACAGGACAGATATTTGCATCTGACGGGTCCTCTGTCCTCTGGACGGAAGGAGAAGAGGAGGGAGAAGACCAACTCCATCAAGCTGTGCTTTGACCCCCATGCACACCTTGGCATACACACCACTCGTACATATAGACGAGTGTTTGTTTTTCAGAACACGTACCTTTCCAGTCTGGCAATGGTCTCATGTTAGAAAGGACTTTGTTCACTCCAGAATGTTTTCAGTAAGCCAGGTGAATTAAATAGCACATATGAGGCTTACTCTCTAGACAGTGTTGGCTTGTTTATTAGTAATTTAGTTGTCACGTATCCAGTACTCGAGTTCTGTACAGACCAGGTGCTGTACTGAGTACAGAGGGGCACAGTGTATCAGGTTGTGACGCTGTATTCTTAGGTAACACGACCGTGCACAGCAGTCGAAGGACATCAGTCCGAAGTGCAAATGAGGCCAAACGCGTTTCTCAAACCCCTCCCTCTTTGTCCTGCTGGGCTTCCTTCTCTAAGATTCTTTATAAGGATTTTTAAATTTTATTATGTGAGTATGAGTGTTTCGCTTGCATGCTTATGTACACCATTTGCCTGCCTGATACCCAGGGAGGTAGAAAACAGTGTTGAATCCCCTGGAGCTGGAGTGACAGATGGTTATGAGCCACCTTGTGAGTGTTGGGAATCAAAACCCAAGTCCTCTGGAAGAGCAGCCAGAGCTTATAACCACGGAGCGGTCTCCAGTCCCCTTCTCCAAGGTTTTTTTTTTTTTATGATCCACTAGAAGTAAAGGAATCTCTCAGGTACTTGGTGGTTTTGGGTTCCTTTAAGCAATTAATAGCTTAAAAGTGCCTTTAATGACACTGAGGTCATAGTCATCTAACTCCCATCCAGTGAGCCTAGCTTCTTGCAGAACAGGTAACTTTGATAATACTTGACTAAGTTTTCTCACCAATGAAGCATCTGGTAAAAATTCTTCAGTACTAAAGTCAAAAAATACTAATTGTTTAAGGTTCTCAAATACGTTCATGAAGGAAAACCATCCGTCACTGCTCACACAATTTCCCGCTAAATCCAACTGCTGCAGGTTTCTCAGAGGATTCATCTCCAGAAAGTCACCTGGGGGAAGAGATAAGTATGTCAATTGGAAGAAAGCCACATTAAATTAAATGAGTTCTGTACACACATAGAAATCATTTTTTCCATTTTAAAATGACCGTATTTAGACCAGAGTTGAACCCAGGGAAGAAAGAACTCCTAAGGCAGACTGTGATGGTGCCGTTCTATTTACGGATTCTGTTTCCTAATGTCTAATGTAGAAGAGTAGAGAAGGCAAATAGAAGTAATGTGTGTGTTTTACTTTAGTCTTGGTTCCTCCTGGAAATGGAAAGTTGATTAAACATTGAGGTGTGAGAGATGCTGTTAGATATTGAGGAGTTGTTTTTAAAATTAGAGGCCACTCTGGGGAGTAGAAGTGTGAGCAGCAGCAGCAACTTCCAGAAACTATAGTAAGAAGTTCCTCTGGGAAAGAGCACCTGTGTCCCTGTCAGCCTCCAGTGCCATAATCTGTATGTGATTCCCAGCTGCATCAAGCACCTACGCAGCCTCAGAAGTGCCTGCACCTAGAGGAGTGACCACTCGAGCCTTAGGCCCCCTGCATCAGGAAGAGCCATCACCGGAGGCCCTACCCTGCCTGCACCTAGAAAAACAATCAACAGAGACACAGCCTCCAACTACACCAACTGGAGAAGCAGGGTCCTCCTGAAGCACAGACTTCATATGTACTGATTGGAGGAAGAGAGGGGTCGTCAACAGAGTAAGAACACACTCAACAGCACAAAGAGCAATATGGCAGCTCCAGAAATTAAAGGTTCTACAACGGCAAGACCTGAACATCCCAATGCAGATGAAGCAGAAGAAAACAACCTCAAAAATAACTATGAAAATGACTGAGGCCCTTACAGGGGAAATAAAAAAAAAACTCTCTTAAAGAAATAGAGGAAAAGACAAACAAAAAATTGGAAGAAATCAACAAATCCCTTAAAGAAAACCAAGAAAAAGAAATCAAAAC